TCTCATTTAGAGTCTTGAGATTATCAAGCTCTAATAAAATGAGTCCTAGTGAAAAGAGATCTGACTATTTAATGTAAATAAACTTTAAAAAATAATATAACACTATTATTAAAAACCTGAATTCTAGATTGTCCTGCTTCCACTTCTGGAGCAAAATATGCATCAGTTCCTTTCTGAAAATTATAAAAAATATTGAAACCAATTAAAATAATAATTAATTTTTTAACCTTAGACATGAAGCTTTTTGATTTAGACACAGCTGATGCAAAGCCAAGATCACCTGAATTTAAAAAATATTTATTAAATATTAAATAATATAAAAATAATTATATACAAAGTTTGATTGAGAAACCATATTCCTTAGAGGCGCAAACAAGGAAATTTTAAGGTTTAATATCCCTGTGCATAATATTTTTGACATGAAGGTTATTCAACCCTTCTATCATTTAAATGGCTATTATTTCCTTCATTTCTTTGGGAGGTGGAACTTATTATTTTCTGAGGGAATCAAAGAGTTATTTGAGATTATCTTGTTAATTATAAAATTAATTTAGTTTTATGTTAAAATTTTAATTAAAAAAATGTTTATTTCTAAATTTTTAAATTATTTTTTTTTAATTTATTTGCAATTATTTTTTATTTTTTAAAAACTTAGAGAGAAAAATAAAAATTTTGAAATGGGATTTATTCATTTATTTATTAATAAAAGTTTTGAGTTAAATAATTTATTAATAATATTGTTTTTTAAATCTATATTATAAAAAATAAAGGATTATTTTATAGTAATTTATTTTATCTATTTAACTAAGTATTTAATATTTTTAGAAATTATTTATTTCAACACATTTAAGTAAGTTTAATATTAATTTAAATTAGTTCAAGTGGATTACTTATACAATTAAAGTTGTTTAATTTTAGTCTCTCATGAGAAATTTATATAATTTACTCATTATAATTTTTATTGAAATAATTTATATTTTTTTCAGTTATTAATATCTTTATATCTTTTAAATATTTATTTTTGAATTTAAGTTAAAAAAAATTTTGGAGGATAGTTAAAACTAACTAATTTTTTAGGTAATAATTAATTCAATTTTTAAATCAAATAACATTTTTAATTTATTATCTTTTATATTATAAATAAATAAATTAAAAATATTTATGAAAATTGCTTATTAAAAAATTAAATTTTTATATTGGGTAAATAGATTATAAAATTTTGATGAATTAATTTTCGAGAAGGTTTAATTAAGAAATCTTACAAAATTTGATTAAATTAAATGAAAAAGTCTTAATAGTGGGGAATCCTAAAAAATTAATTAAAATTAACATTTTTATATTAAATTAAATAATTTCTATTATATTTTCTAAATTAATTAAATCTGCTTAGCGCAAATCTAATTTTTTTTAATTAACTATCAAAATCAAAAAAGACTTAGAAAAAAAATTAAAATTACCTATTTTTAAAATGGTGATGCGTAAGCTAGGTCAGGTCAATAAAAAGTATAAATATATCTTATTTTATGTATTTTTACACGTTTCTTAAAAAATGAAAAAAAAAAAAATGGATGAAAATTTTATGGTTTTTTTTACTTTCGCAAAGCTCCATTTCCATTACAAAGAAAGATTTGTTTTCAGTTTAAACGATAATTTTGTTTCCATCATCATCTTCATCATCATATTCTTCCATTAAATAGAAGCAATCATAGACATTTACTAAACATTCTGAATTGCTAAACTTTTGAAGCATTTCATACTCCTTTTTCATAGATTCGATACCATCTTTGTCCTCTTTGTTGGAACTCCCTAAGAATTTGAGAGCTACTTAGCGATTTTGTTAAGAGTTCTAAGCCTTTAAGACAAGAGCATAAGCGCCACTGCTTAAGTACTCAAAATTTTTGAAGTGTTTTTTCTAGCTGAACATTAACTTGATCAATTCCTTAATTGATACTTTTTGAATTTAGCATTCTTTGGATACTTTGTTTGAGATAATTTCGACTAACTCGTTTTGAATTTTCATAGACATTTGGCTATTCACTTTCGCTATGCGACTGAGGTTGTTAACTGGGGTACTGACTTACTTAAAGTAGGCTGAGGGGGTTTGCTTTTTTACTAAAAACAGAGGTTTTTGTAGAGATTTAAAATTTATATATACCAAAATCACTTTTTTTCTTCTATATAAAGAGGAGAATCAGCTTAATAATAAAAGAAATTAGAGTAAAACTCCTATCAAGAGAGATTAGTTAAAATCAAGAAGAAATCTTAATTAATTTTCAAATATACTAACAACTTTCTATTTTTAGATTATTGTTATTAACAGATAAGATAGCAATCAATATAAACAGTATCTTTTTAAAATTTATAATATATTTTATAAATTATCTAAAGTTACCATTTTCTTATGAGAAAAAAATTAACACAGATTTGTATTATATAAAAATTATGACTGAATAATAATGGTAATATCACTATAAAATGCATACATATTTGTATTACTTAGCGACTTTTGAAAGAAAATAACTATAAATATATTTATTTACTATAAATAAAATCTTTAAATTCTAATAAATATAAATTTTTTTAATGCTTTTGTGAATTATAATATATACATATATAACAGGCTTGAAAATTTAGTATATGTAATAGATATTAGCTACTTATTTTGTTTGTTGTTATATAAAAATATTGTTTAGTAATTAATTGCTCATTATTTATTGGATTATACAAACCACCTATTCTGTCTGTAATATCATCTAAATATACTAATAACTTTTCTTTTTATTACATAAAATAGCGTGAAAGGAAAAACAGACTAAAACTCCTCTTAATTAATATTTTTATTAAATGAAAGGATTGTATGGTTTTTATCAAAATATACTTTTTATTTGTTAATTTAATCTAATCAAAGATCCTATCCACAAATCTAAAAATATGTGTTTACAGTGAAGCCTGTTAATGCAGTAACCTATAGAAAAGAATATTCTTTCCAAAATGCAAATATTTCCAACTTATTTATAGATTTTTTAATGAAAAAGTTAAATTTGGGAACAGAACTTTTGTGCAATTTTAACTAGCTCCAAATCTGACAGATTTTACTGTACATTTTTGTGATATGTGATAGCAATTAAATATAGAGCGAAAGCAAAAACACTAAAGATCTATAAAGATATTTTGATTATCTGAAAAGAATATTCTTATCAAAATATCTTTTCAATTAATCAAAGTGCCTACTCACTGATCTACAAATATACTAACATCTTTTTTATTTAAAGCTAATTGATAATAGTAATATTATCTATTTCATTAATATAATAGAATCACAATCTAATGCATACATATTTGTATTACTTAGCGACTTTTGAAAGAAAATAACTATAAATATATTTATTTACAATAAATAAAATCTTTTAAATTCTAATAAATATATATTTTTTTTATGCTTTTGTGAATTATATATAATATATCCATATATAACAGGCTTGAAAATTTAGTATATGTAATAGATATTAGCTACTTATTTTGTTTGTTGTTATATAAAAATATTGTTTAGTAATTAATTGCTCATTATTTATTGGATTATACAAACCACCTATTCTGTCTGTAATATCATCTAAATATACTAATAACTTTTCTTTTTATTACATAAAATAGCGTGAAAGGAAAAACAGACTAAAACTCCTCTTAATTAATATTTTTATTAAATGAAAGGATTGTATGGTTTTTATCAAAATATACTTTTTATTTGTTAATTTAATCTAATCAAAGATCCTATCCACAAATCTAAAAATATGTGTTTACAGTGAAGCCTGTTAATACAGTAACCTATAGAAAGGAATATTTTTTCCAAAATGCAAATATTTCCAACTTATTTACAGATTTTTTAATGAAAAAGTTAAATTTTGGACCAGAACTTTTATGCAATTTTAACTAGCTCCAAATCTGACAGATTTTACTGTACATTTTTGTGATAGCAATTAAATATAGAGCGAAAGCAAAAACACTAAAGATCTATAAAGATATTTTGATTATCTGAAAAGAATATTCTTATCAAAATATCTTTTCAATTAATCAAAGTGCCTACTCACTGATCTACAAATATACTAACATCTTTTTTATTTAAAGCTAATTGATAATAGTAAAAATCAATAATAAAAGTAATATTATCTACTTAATTTATATAATAGAATCGCTATCTAAATGCAAATTAAAATATTTTCTATTTTTCCCTAGCAAAAAATATCCCAAACTGAAATTATTTTTAATATAAAATAAACAGTTCTACTTACTTTATTAGTAACAATAAATTAATTTTATTTTAAAAGCTAAAACTAATTTTTGATGAAATCTTTTATTTATTTTATAAAATAGTTTAATATTATTTTTTTACTTTAATATAAGTACTTTTAAAGTGTATGTTTAACTATATTAAATATGTTTGTTTTATACTAAATTATTTGTAGCGCCATTTTTTAATTTGTATGGAATTATCATTTCGATTAATAGTAAAAAATATATAAATTTAAAAGAAGCTTAAAAATATATGGTGTTAGTATTATTATTTATTTTAATTAGGGATAAATCAAATATACTTAAATCCCACATATTTTTTACAAACTAAGTAACTACGCTAATAATAAAATATGATAAATTAAAATAAAAAATATTCTTGAATTATTCAATAAATTAAAAATATATAAATGGAGCTTGTTTTTTTTTTGGTTGATTAAAATTAAGAGAGATATTAAATAAAAGCCATTTATAAACCAGTATTTTAATTTTGGCAATATTTTATAATTAGCACTCTAATAGTCATAATATAACTATATATTTTTAAACCTTTTCAAAAAATCTAAAATTTTATAAACTAAAATGAATTAAAGTTTTCTTTTTATTAGCTCAAACGTCATTTAATTCATAGAATCTCTTATTTTGAAATATTTAATTTTGTTAGCTAATTAATTAAATAACAAATAAATAAATATATTCATTTAAATATTTTTCTTCCATTTTTTAAGCATTATCTTATTATTAAAGTAATATAAAAAACTAGCAATTAAATTTTGATCCTATATAATTACTATCTACAGAGTCATGTAATTCTATTCTAGCGTTTGTTAATAAAAATAAATTCATTTCTGTGAGGCAATTAATCTATTATTGTTAATAAGAATTTCATGATTACTTACAGATACTAATCAATTAATCTGATTATTTCTTAAAACTCAATCCCACCTTTAATTTTGAAAAATAAATCAGTAGCTATTACATAAAAAATAAATGCATACATTCATCTAAATATTTTCATCAGCTTTTTAAATATTCTCTTAATATTAAAATAGATTTATAAACCAGTATTTAAATTTTGGTAATATTTTATATAAGCAACTAGATCATTTAATTTAATTCTAGTGCTTTTATTCATAATGAATTAATTTTAGTGAAATATTCTATTATTATTATAAAGAATTAGATGAATATAGATAATAATCAATAAATCTGATTATTTCTGAAAACTTAATAATCTTTCTTTTAATTTTTGAAAAGAAAAGTAGGAGCTATTACAAAACTAACAAATACATTCATTTAAATGTGTTATGTAAAATTTTAAAATATTTTATTTATTGTTTGTCTTTAGAATTTTACTGATACCATTTTTAACTTAAAGGTACAATTATAAAATTTATTTACATATGAAAAATATTTACTTGATATAAAATTTAATAAACAATTAATAAAAATGGAGATAAATAAAGCAAATGTCTAACTATCAAATATAAATAGAGATATTTTAAAAATTTCATAAATCTATTTAAAGCAGAAATAAAAAGAAATATTGTTATCTTTAAATTAGTAAAAATATTTTTTAAAGACAATGCTTAAAAATATAGCATGCAAATAAATACAATAAATCTAATTTTTCACATAAATAAAGGTCATAAAATTATATTTTAGGTTTATTTTCATCATATTCTAAATTATAACCACCTCTTTGAATGCATTATCTTCAGGAAAGGTTGGATATTTAAAAATGGTGTTAAATTGTTTTAGCTATTTTTATAAGAGTGGGTTGTCAATTATTGATTGTGTTTTTCTACTTTTTTTAATGCTTGAAATTAAAATAAAATTAAATGGAGCTTAGATTCAATAAAGAATTATATATATATTAAATAGATAGAAGTAATTTCCATAATTTAGACAATAAAAAATCGTCTAACTACTTATTAGGCGAAAATTAATTAAATTAACATTTCTATTTGGTTTTAAATTAAGGATCCAATCTTTGATTTCATCTTAAGTGATTCTTCCTTCTAATAAACAAATATTATTTAATAATATAGTTAAGTGTCTTAAGCTATTTTTATACGAGTGGGTTTTAAAATATTGATTGCGTTTTTCTAACTTTAATGCTTGAAATTAAAATAAAGTTGAATGGAACTTAGATTCAATCAATAATTATAGACTAAATAGATAGATAGAATGAATATCCATAATTTAGAAAATCAAAAATCATCTAACTACTTATTAGGTGAAATTAATTAAAATATATATTTGGTTCTAAATTAAGTATTCAATCTTTGATTTCATCTTAAGTGATTATTACCTTTAAATAAACAATTTATACCCTATTTTCTGATAAACGCAATCGACAGAGTAACTGAAGGAGCCCTAAATTTAGAAATTATAATTTTAGACAGTTTTACAGTTTAACAAGATATTATATTTGTATAAATATGAAATCTAAATATTTGCTATTATTATAATTATATATAAAAAGGAGGATTTAGATAAGATATAAGGGATATTCAAAATGATGTATTTTTGTAATTAAATTAATAAATAAATAAATAAATATATTTTCATATTATTTTTAAATTTTACATTTTTGTAAAAAATATAAAAATAAAACTAATTACAAAAATACATGTAAATAGTTCCCAAACTAATTTTCCTTTATATCCAATCTGTTGTTCCAACTATATTTTTAAGTAAAGATTTTAAATAGAAATATTAAGATTTAATAATGAATGTTAGTTATCCTAACTTTTTTGTGATTTCTATTACGAAAAGTAAAAAAAATTTTTTTATACTTATAATTTATTTGCTCTTTTTATCCATTGATTGTTTATTTCTTCTACAAACATAAAGATATAAATTCTTTATTTACTAATATTTATATAATTTTTATATAATTTCATTGATTTTTCTTTGTTATTTTTATCCATTTAAAATTAATTAAATTTCGATCAATGGCTAATTAATATCCTTGTAAAAAAAAATAAATGATATAAGAGAATAAAAAATACATCAAATTAGAAGAAGTAATTATTTATTTTTTTATAAAAATACTTTAAATTTATATTTACTAATATTAAAAGTTTTTAAGCTCTTCACTTTAATCTCATTAAATTCTCCATATTGTATTTTGGTATATTTAATTAATAAATATCATTATTATAATAATTAATATTTTCGTCTATATATTTAACTTTCAGTTTATTTAAAATTTTATTTTTATAATAGAAATTATCACCTATATTAATTAGTTCATTCATTTTATTAATAAAAATGTTTTTTTCTTTGTTTTAACTTAATTTTAACTATAAATTTTTTAATTAATTGTCAATTTTTTATTATTTAATATTATTTATTCATTTTTTCCTTCTAAAACTTTGAATTGATAAAATCAGTTTATTTATTTGTTTTGGATTATGAAATTTTAATTTTTTAAAATGAACTTAAGGCAATATAACTAACTCTTTTAATTTGTTTATTTGCTTCTTATTTAACTTATTTTTATTTTTAATTTTACTTGTGTTTTTTCTTGATCTATCATTCTTAATTTAACTAATTTTTTTATTTTTAACCTTTTCTTTTATAATTTATTTCTAATTATTTCACATTTTTCATCATTTTTTCCTTCCAAATAACTAATTAATTATATATTCTTTCATAATATTTAAAAAGTTTCAGTTCAATTGATGATTAACGTGTATTAGGCTTAGGTTCTGCTTTAGCAAATTGCACTAATCTCTCAAATTTGACACTCAATCTTGAGTAAAAATAGTTTATTTTTTTTTTTTTTGTGATATTTTTAGTTATAAAAAATGAATTTAAAACAAAATATATCTTTTAATTCGTTTATTAGCTTTTTATTTAATTTATTTTTAATTTTCTTTTTTATTGTACTTTTGGTTTTTTTTCTTATTTCACTATTTTTTCCTTGTAAATAACTAACTAAATAATTATATATTTTTTCTTCATATTTAAAAGTGCGAATTAAATTGGTGATATCGGTGTATCAGGCTTAGGTTCTGCTTTAGCAAATTGCACTAAACTCTCAAATTTGACACTTAAGCTTTGGTAAAAATAGTATATTTGTTATGGATGTGATATTTTTAGTTATAAAAATGAATTTAAAGAAATTAAATTTGTTTATTTGATTTTTATTTAATTTATTTTTCTTTTTTATTGTACTTGCTTTTTTTTCTAATAACTTTCTTAATTTAACTCATTCATTTTTTATATTTTAAACACTTATTTTATTATTAATAATTCATTTTTTACTATTTCATATTTTTTCTTCATTTTTTTCTCCTAAATAACTAATTAATTAATTATATTTTTTCTTCGATATTTAAAAAGTGGGAATATATTTCGTGATTAGGGCGCATTGGGCTTAGGTTCTGCTTTAGCAAATTGCACTAATCTCTCAAATTTGACACTTAATCTTGAGTAAAAATAGTTTATTTGTTTGTTTTGGATTGTCATATTTTTAGTTATAAAAATGAATTTAAAAAAATATAATCCTTATAATTTATTTGTTTATTAGCTTTTATTTAATTTATTTTTCTTTTTTATTATACTTATAATTTTTTTGTTATATCTAAATAACTAGTTAATTACTCATTTTTTATTTTATATTTAAAAAGGCACAATTCAATTGGTGCAACAGGTGCATCAGGCTTAGGTTCTACTTTAGCAAATTGCACTAATCTCTCGAATTTGAAACTTAATCTTTGGTAAAAACAGTTTATTTCTTTGTTTGTTTTGGATTGTGATATTTTTAGTTATAAAAATGAATTTAAAACATTAAAACAAACTCTTTTGGTTTATTTGTTTATTAGCTTTTTATTAAATTTATTTTTCTTTTACTTTTTAATTGTACTTTTTTTTTATTTCTTTCTTTCTTTCTTAATATAACTTGTTTTTTTATTATCAACATTTGCATTTACTATTTATTTATTTATGAATTCATTTCTCATTATTTCATATTTTTCTTCATTTATTTTTTCCTTCTAAAAAACTAATTAATTATATATTTTTTATTCAATATTTAAAAGGAACAATCAAATTGGTAATTAAGGTGCATCAGGCTTAGGTTTTGCTTTAGCAAATTGCACTATCCTCTCAAATTTGACACTTTGTGTTAGGTAAAAACAGTTTATTTATTTTAAATTGTGATATTTTTAGTTATTAATTTGAATTTAAAAAATTTATAAATCTTTTAATCTCTTTATTAGCTTTTTATTTAGTTTATTTTTATTTTTTATTGTATTTGATTTTTTTTCTTCTTCATTTATCTTTCTTAGTTTAACTCATGTTTTGATTTTTAACATTTTCTTTTATTATTTATTAATTCATTTCTCATTTTTTCATATTTTTTCCTTCTAAATAACTAATTAACAATATATTTTTTCTTCAATATTTAAAAAGATACAATTAAATTAGTTCAACAGGTGCATCAGTCTTAGGTTCTGGTTTAGCAAAATGCACTAATCTCTCAAATTTGGCACTTAGTCTTAGGTAAAAACAGTTTATTTGTTTGTTTTGGATTGTGATATTTTTATTTAAAAAATGAATTTAAAACAATATTATGCTTTTAATTTCTTTATTAGATTTTTATTTAATTTATTTTCTTATCTTTTCTAATTATTTTGTTAATCTTTATTTTATTTTAATATAAAAGTGAAAACTAAATTAAAAAATAATAAGAATTTGAAGTAATAAGCAAGTATCTTAAATCAAAAAGATTAGTTGTCTTTGAAATAAATTTCAATTGATAATAAAATAAATAGTTGTGAAAAAAGGGTGAATAAATATATTATATAACATATATGTAATCAGATAATTTAACCTAAAATATTCATACATACATACATACATACATACATACATAAATATGAAATCTAAATATTTGCTATTATTATAATTATGTATAAAAAGGAGGATTTAGATAAGATATAAGGGATATTCAAAATGATGTATTTTTGTAATTAAATTAATTAATAAATAAATATATTTTCATATTATTTTAAAATTTTACATTTTTGTTATAGTAATAATTTTTAATTTTGTAAATAAAATGTAAGATTTTAAAAAATATAAAAATAAAACTAATTACAAAAATATATGTAAATAGTTCCCAAACTAATTTTCCTTTATATCCAATCTGTTGTTCCAACTATATTTTTAAGTAAAGATTTTAAATAGAAATATTAAGATTTAATAATGAATGTTAGTTATCCTAACTTTTTTGTGATTTCTATTACGAAAAGTAAAAAAAAAATTTTTTTATACTTATAATTTATTTGTTCTTTTTATCCATTGATTGTTTATTTCTTCTACAAACATAAAGATATAAATTATTTATTTACTAATATTTATATAATTTCATTGATTTTTCTTTGTTATTTTTATCCATTTAAAATTAATTAAATTTCGATCAATGGCTAATTAATATCCTTGGAAAAAAAAATAAACGATATAAGAGAATAAAAAATACACCAATTTAGAAGAAGTAATTATTTATTTTTTTATAAAAATACTTTAAATTTATATTTACTAATATTAAAAGTTTTTAAGCTCTTCACTTTAATCTCATTAAATTCTCCATATTAGACTTTGGTATATTTAATTTATAAATATCATTATTATAATTAATTATTAATATTTTCGTCTATATATTTAACTTTCAGTTTATTTAAAATTTTATTTTTATAATAGAAATTATCACCTATATTAATTAGTTCATTCATTTTATTAATAAAAATGTTTTATTCTTTGTTTTAACTTAATTTTAACTATAAATTTTTTAATTAATTTTCAATTTTTTATTATTTAATATTATTTATTCATTTTTTCCTTCTAAAACTTTTAATTGATAAAATCAGTTTATTTATTTATTTGTTTTGGATTTGGAAATTTTAATTTTTTAAAATGAACTTAAGGCAATATAACTAACTCTTTTAATTTGTTTATTTGCTTCTTATTTAACTTATTTTTATTTTTAATTTTACTTGTGTTTTTTCTTGATCTATCATTCTTAATTTAACTAATTTTTTTATTTTTAACCTTTTCTTTTATAATTTATTTCTAATTATTTCACATTTTTCATCATTTTTTCCTTCCAAATAACTAATTAATGATATATTCTTTCATAATATTTAAAAAGTTTAAGTTTAATTAATGATTAACGTGTATTAGGCTTAGGTTCTGCTTTAGCAAATTGCACTAATCTCTAAAATTTGACACTCGATCTTCAGTAAAAA